ACAACTTTTAAAATCCTCTGACCATGAAATTGACCAAAGTGGACCATGAATTTGGTAAGCCCCTACTTGATGTCACTCTTGTGTGAGAAAACACCCCTCTGAGCAAAATAAGTTATGCTGACAGATGTGCTGGTGTGGACATTGCTGTGTTGACAGGAGATGCACTCCTGCCGACATCGCAACCGCTACTCGTTGAAAGTGGCTTAATTATGTCGATGGGAGGCCTTTCTCCTGCCGGTAGAGAACGGCTACACGAGAGAAGTTAGAGAAGTATCAGTAAAGCTGTGCTGCTATAAACTCCCTGGTATAGATTTGGCCTTAATTCCCCTCTGTGATTTCAGCTGGCTATAACATTCTTCTAAATTAAACTGCCGGGCTCGCCCCCAGAATTGACTTCGTTTCAGCAGCGGGTGAAGTGATTTTTGCTTGTACTTTGTGTGACTGCTCACAACGAGCTTTGGGATGTGGTGGATGCAAGGCACTAGGTCCATATTAAGATTAGCATTAATAATGAGCGTTTGCTCTTGGCGGGGTTGCAGGCAAGCATAGGGTAGCTGCATTCTGATCAGCCAAAGTTGCAACTCAGTTCTGATGCTGGGGCATACCCCATGCTGACAAAGGTGTCAGTAAAACATGGCTAGTACATATGTGGAGATCGCTCTTTTTCCTCCTTACAGTATATTCTGTAGGATCTGATTCTTGTGATACATCTCAAACTGCAGCTATTTCTAATGTAATTATCTAGTGATGCATCTGGAACGTCAATGATGCATCCAGTGTAAATGCCACCTGCTCCTGTTTCACACAGATAGCTCTGTTTGTCCAACACTATCTGCCTGGTTACACGTTCTGAAATCTTTCATAAAAATCTTCTTTCTAAAACCTTCCGTGCTTCTGTAACACAGCATCCTTGGCTACTGCCTGAGCTGTTTCGAACCACAGGCTTGTTGTGTTGCTTTTCGAGAAACCTCTTCATGATTCAACAAAACTGGTTTTGCAGCCTAAGATTGCACAATAGCCCTTTGAGCGTTGAATGATGCCTTCAGAGGTCCAGGAGAGGAAAATGGGGAGATTCCCTTGCTTTGTAAATGTATCTCTACACCAGGACTACTCAACCTTGGAAGCCCCGGGGGCCACAATGATACTCTCAGCACATGCGGAGCCCTCAACTTAAGTGTAGTTGCATAGACATGCAAATATGTGCAAATAGCTTCTTTCACACTGATGGGCATGAAGACAAAGATTAAGGCAAGACTACACAACACACAATATTTACCCGATTTCCACCCATATGACCACAATTTTAATGAGCAATGATAATCCAGGAATTTAACTACTAAAACACATATCAACCGAAGATCATTATATTGAGTACTTTTTCGAGTAGGCTCCTACGCGGTCCATGTGTTGAGCCCCGCGTAAATCCAAACTGCACTGTGGGCTGCAAACAAACGCACTGAATCCAAACTGCACTGTGGGCTGAAAACAAACGCACTGCATGCAGCCCATGGGCCGTGTGTTGAGTAGCCCTGCTCTGCACCCTGCTTCTTTCCTGCAAGCTTGTGGCAAGGAAATCTAGTCCGAAGCTTTGCATAATTTCATCGGCTACACCGAAAGCTCATGCCCTATGCAAATGTTACACCTGAGCTGAGCATCTCGGCTTACCTGAGTGGATTGTCACCGAGCTGACAGCTGTTCAGTTTAGTAAAGGAACAGGTGGATTTCAGCAGCAAAAGCAGCAGGTATGTGGACGAATGGAGCACGTATTGGCGGCGGTACAAAGGAGTGACCCCCTCCTAGGCACCCTCTGGTGGCCTCTGAGCACCCTTGCTACTGGCCCCTTGCCTCAGTTTCCCTCTTGGGTAACTCCAAGGACTACACTTGAGCCTGTGGCTTACACTGGCCCCCAGGAGGGGTGGTGGTTGTTACAAAATGCTTGTGCAAAAAGTCTATAAACGCCCCAAAACTACAGCCCACGTCACCCCACTGCATATAGTCTTTGTTCTCACTGCACCTCAGCAGCTTCTATCAGCCAGCCTCCTTTTCTGTCCTTTTCTTTTCCTGTACTGGGGCCTGCCCATTCTATTGGGGTACAGCCCAGCTTTACTCAGCAGGGACTTCCCCAGCCTCTCTGTTAGGAGCATCCCTCACCGCCCCAGTCCCCTCTCCCTTCCCAGGTCAGCAAGTAAGCCCCTGTCTTGCTCCTCTTGCTTTCAGCCCTCTCGTCCTTGGCTCTGGTGTAGAGCCCACAGGCACTCTCTCTGCGGCTCCCCTTGCCTTCAGCCTTCCTTGCCTTCAGCCTTCTGGCTGGGGGCCCCCAGCAAGGCCTGCGTAGTGCCCCCTGCCTCCGCTTTCTCCCAGGAGCCAATGTCTTCCCCCCCGGCAGCTGCCCTCTCCTGCCCGATTCCTTTACTCTGGCATGTCGGTGGGTCCTACAAAATACATCCCGTTGTCTGACTGGCTTCCTGGCTGTGATCATCACGGCAGCTTTCTGTTACTAAGACCGTGGTGGTGTCATTGTGCCAGCTAAGGACAAAATGTGCTCTTCTGTTTTCTGTCGTCGGAGGATTTCTGATCTGAATCTGATTAGCCGCATGCTGATTCTCCTAGCCCTCTGCGAGGGTAGGCATACTCCCCATTTTACAGGTGGAAGAATAGAGGTCCGGGGAAGACAAGGTGGCTTTCCCAACATGACACACTGATCGGAGGATGCCATGGAGGCTTAGCTCTTGGTCCTCTGCTCTCCCCGCTAGAAAACTCATCCATGTCCTCGTCAAACGAGACCTTTTTTCCCCAACGGTGTTAACACAAAATGCTTTCGTTGGTGCCCTCCATCAGTAAGCCTTCGCGCAGTGAAGGGAGCAGCCACGTCGCAGCTCTCCTCTGCCATTAGCAGAACAGCTAATAAAATGTTCTGCTGCAAGGTCAGGAAGGTAAAAACAGCTGCTTTCTCCCTGGATCTGGGTCAGCTGGTTGGGAAGAACATGTGAGCAGCCATCTCTGTGTGAGTCCCTCCAAGGCGGTTGAGTTCGTTCGCTGTTTTGTGGGCCAAGCGTCCATCTGAAGCTGGCTGGGCATGTGACTCCCCTGGCATGGTGTTATCTTCCTATGTGCACCCACCACCACCCGACAACCGATTTGAAAGGTTTCTCCCCAGCCTTTCTCCTCCATTTATCTTTGCTGCCCCTTTCTTCTCCTCCCCCTTTTGCCAGCTGCATTGGTATTATTACCTGTTCCCCTCACTTCTTCTATAGCTTTTAAAGCAATACAGAGGAAGTATGAACAGATGGGGAAACTGAGGCATGGAGAGATTTTTTTTTTTAAAGTGACTTGACCAAGGTCATGCACCAAGCCAGTGGCAGAGCCACGGTCAGAACCCCTGTCTGTAGAGTCCCAGCCTAACACTAGGCCACATTGATGCCTGCTAGCCCAGCCCTGTAAGATCTACAAATATGAGGGCTACTGTTTGACTTGCTAAAACAAACATGTATTCTGCTTTCATCGCTGTGTGTGAAACTGTCAGGAAAGAGTCAACAGATTAGTCTAGGTGGGGGTGATGCACCTGATTAGCTTGGGCTAAATTAAGCCAGTTGCTATGGCTCCCAGAAGATGGCTGGCAAACCATCTGAATTTGCTAACTTGCTTTCCTCATGATGACTTTGCTTCCTCCCCCCACATGCTGCTCTTCTTGACCTTTTAAAAAGTTTTTCTGGAAAGCGGCTCTTCCACACGCAATTTTGTAGTGACCGCAGCCCTGCTGCCGCCTCCTGCCCCAGTTCCCCAGGCCTGGCCTAACCCCGCTGCCCCCATTTCGCGGGTCCTTGAGGGTTTTTCTGTAGCAATGGCTGCTAAGACAGGAAGGCCAGAGGTAATCTGTGGCCTGTGTAGCTGGAGTCTTTTCCTTTGTCCCCATGTTTTTTTTCAGACTGCTGACATACAGACTATCGCCTGCGGGGTAGCAGTGGCTTCTGGTGCCCTGTGCTGGTCGGTACCTTCTGTGTAGCAAGTCCCTGATTACTTACCAGCTTGGCAGCATTGCCTAGTGGGTAGGGCATTGGATTGGGACTCAGCAGAGCTGCTGTGTGATTGTGGACAATTCACATCCCTGGACAATTCACATCACAGAATTGCCCCAAAGCACTTACAACACATGGCTCTTAGGGTGCGTCCATACAGCGCCTAGCAGATGATTTTGTACGGCGGCTCTTGGCGCCGTGAGGATGGAAAGATAAATACTTCCACACGCCTTCCACCAATCACAGCTGGCTCCGTGTTTGCCGCCCGGCCGGGAATGCTCTTACCCCGGCCAGTGGGGAAGGGAGCCGTGTCCCTGTGCAGTACCTTCTCTGGGAATAACTAGAGACCTTCAGTCTCCAGGGCAGTTGCTCTAGCACTTGTCTCTGCTATATGTTCATTTTTAAAGGGCCTTTATAAAACTGCAGGGTTTTAAACTACAGCTCTTCTGCATTTTAGCCCTGCATTCATGAGCATCTGATATTTCCCCTGCCTTCATTGGAACAGCCTCCCCTTTTGGTATAGAAATAATCTTAAAATGCATCACATGGGGGAGAGTCCAGATTTCCCAGCCTCAGAGATTGTAGTCCTCTGTGTAACCCTAGAAGAGAAACCGTGAAGCTGGTGTCCTTGCGTTGCTCTCTTCAGCCTCCCTGACCAGGGCCTTTTCTGTAGCCTGGTCAGGCTTGGCTAAAGAGTAGAGGTGTATAGCTGGGTGTTTGTCACCCTAGGAGTTGGACCCTTACCTCCCTGCTTGTTACATCCCTCCGCACAGGGCAGGGTGTAACAAGGCTGCTAAGGGTGAGCCGCCACCCAGCGAGAACAGCTTTTGGTCGCTGTCAACCCAGGGATCAGGAGGAGAGAGGTCCCGTGTCTGCCACTGATCCCTCGAGCCATCCTGTCCATCTAGGATTGTGTTTAAAGCAGGGTCTCCCTTGCCTGCCCTAACAGCCTCTGCGTGCGTATCTGTGTGCTTGGCTTCACAGTTTTGGGACCACTTGGACCACACGATGTTATTCCCAGAGTTCAGACCGTTTCTGAGCAGCAGCTCGCTGGAGCAAGACAGCAGAGACAACGAAAGGGGCCATCAAGCGCATGCGGATCTCTGGGGACCGAGCAGGCCCCCACGGCTGCCCATGACAAGGAGGTACAGATCCCGGGGCAGCTCCCGCCCGGATAGGTCTCCGGCTATTGAAGGGTAAGTGGTGAGATTTCAGGGTCCTTATGGCAGCTTGCTTCAGTCTTCCCGCTTTCCAGAGCTTTCTACCCCTCCGCAGCCTGAGCCCCCTTCCCTCTGAGGCGGACTGGCCTGTTTGGAGACCGGGTTGGGGCCACCGTCTCTGTGATGCCCCAGGAGAGCCATCCGCGTGAGACCAAGAACAAATACAAGTCGTGACTCCAGCCCCCTGCATGGGAGCATGCCCCCCCCATTAGATCGCGGAATTGGCCTCCTTCGTTCTGAATGCCTCGGGCACAGGCCGGGTCCTTGGGTTTGCAGGAGGGCAGCAGTGTTGGGCCAGAGCGCTCCCGTAGACCAAGTCCCAGATTGGCACCCCGTTCATCAGTGGGGGATCCCAGGGCTTGCTTCCATCTGAGTCTGCTCTCCCTGCCCAAGCCTGCCGCACACCTCAAGGCAGGAATGGTTAAGATGCTGCCTTGTGCCTGGTGCTAAGGAGAAGGTGCTGCTCCGAGGGGGGGATTGGCGGGGGGCTAAGGGGAAGGTGCTGCCCTGGGG